AATTAATCAGAAGTTTAAGATTGTATTTACTATTATATTGTTTCCACATGCGTACTGAATATGTATATGTAATTAGATGAGTGGATAGTTGAATCAGAAAGATTCATATCTGATATTCTCGAGGATCCTCCTACTCCAGAAGTGGCAATAGCAAAGATGAGGTATGTAAATTCCATCTTTGATGTTGTATCCTGTATATGTATTCTATTGACATCTATTTTTATGATTTTATAATATTGTCATATTATTTCAGGCTTGAAACTTTAGTTGATTTTACCCATTTGGATGATGGATATGAAGATCAGTATCCGTAGGAGATATTAATTTTTTATTTTGTTTTCTATAAGTTGTGTACTTGAAGACATTTGATGGAGTTATATCGGAGACATTGGTGAAAGTCATATTTTTCATTGCTAAAAGACAAGCAGCGATCGACATGATGTAGTGCCTATAAAACCTATAAAGTATTCGTCAGATATAACTCAGTAATACTAATACATCGTTCTTATATATAACGATGCAAATGCCCCACCTCCGATATATTCCTAATACAAATCGGAAAATTGTTATAATTATAACAATATAATATAACAGATTCCTAATACAAATCGGAAAAGGTATCCCTGCGATTCCGATCTGAAAGGAATATATCAAGAGATTAAATTTTCTATCAAAGTACAGTAAAACCTCTATAAATTAATACTTGATAAATTAATAACCACTATAAATTAATAAATTTCTCTAGTCCCGAGTCGGGCCAATGTTAAAATCCATCAAATTCGATAAGATAATAAGATAATAATTTTTTTGAAACTCCTATGTAAAAATATGGTCCCAACATAAACATAAATTAATAATATATAAATTTATGTGTATATATAGATAGGTAAAATATAATATATAATAAAATCTGATTAATGTGTTATTTTTTATTTAAGTTTGAGATTTTATTGAAAATCATATCTTTACTTATTTACATCAATAGTTTTTAATGTTTTTTTTTATCTATTCAAAATTTGTGAAAAAAATTAGATGTGATAAATGATTTTCTTACGCATAATTGTGTTGAAATATATTATGATATTGTGTTCAATTTCAGTACCAAGATTAAGGATAATAGCCATAATTTTTTATAAATTTTGTACTAATAAACATTTATATTCTTTCATAGATAATTAAGTCCACAATTAACAAAGAAATAACTATTATATTGCAATTGCTATGATTAATAATCATAATTTTACGTTTGTGCATATCATTTTATAAGCATATGAGTTTAGATTCTTAAATATAACATCATTTGAAAGAAAATTTAAGAAGATGATGGGTAAAAAACAATTTTCCTCTATAAATTAATATCACGATAAATTAATAAAATATCACGGTCCCGACATTATTAATTTATAGAGGTTTTAGTATAATCTCTATAAATTAATATTCGATAAATTAATACCTCGATAAATTAATACATTTCTTAAGTCCCAAATTAGTTTTTTGAGATACTTTTTATATCGATAAATTAATAGAAAATTGCAGTCCCGACATTATTAATTTATAGAGGTTTTACTGTAATATGTTATCGTAAAAATGTAAAATAAACATTAAGGTATCTCAAAAATGTAAAATATCCGATATATCCTTTTATTTTAAATTGTATAAATAGGAAACAAAGGTTTGGTTTAAATATTGTCTCTGCTGTGTTTTTTTAAGGCACCTTTGGACGCAATCATTGTAATTGTTTTGAGGCTCTGGGTTTGTATTTAACTTAAATGGCTTATTTCCTATCTGTCGCCGTACATAAAACATATGATCAAAATCTGTTTGGAATTTCCGAACTTGATCCTACCAAGCATATATGGAAGACTAAGTTGAAAGTCCTACGGAAATTTAAAAGATTTCCTGAATGTGACCGCACGTTAAACTTTATAATGGGGGACTGGAAGGTATAACACATCAATTTCATGATTATATTTTAGTTTTTGTAATGATAAATGTTTGAATATTTGTTTCGTTACTTTTCAGGAACAGAAGATTTATGTAACTGCACCGATTGAATTTTATGATAAGTATTCGAGGATATGTAACGAGGGAGATTGAGTTCTTCTAATAAATTTTAATCTATTGCCTCTTACCGGTGAATTTAAGCCAAGTACACATCCTTATATGATCCAACTTACCAGTGATACAACATGTGCAAGCTCTTATACTTTAGATATCAATGATTATTTTTTGTTCGTTGTTTTCGAAGATATTATGAATGGGACTATTGATTTTAACTTCTGTGTGTGTGAGTATTCGGTGTATTTTTCATTACTGATTTGTCATTCACTTACTATATTGATTAATTGGTATTTTGTTTAAAAAAAAACAGATTTAATCGGTAAGGTTGTCAACGTTGGAAACTCTCATGATAGAATTGGATCCTTAGGATACTCTAGATAGCCTATAATAAGATTCGATCTCGAAAACAAAAGGTAATCTATTTTATGTTAATAAAATTCAAAAACGAATTTTTAAGTTTAACTCAGACTGATTTTTGTTTGATGGAAAACTTTAGGAATCGACGTTTATCATGTTTTTTGAAAGGTGACTATGCTGAAACTTTTCTTCGTGAGTTGGGTGGATGTAAACAAGATGTCGTTATTTGCATCATTCGTTTTGCGAAGATAATTGTTCGACGAGTATTTTTTAGTTTTTGATATGAGATGGTTGTATAGTATATGCGATAAATATGATTTGATTTTGGTTTGTTAGATAAAATATGGTGTTTCTTGGCAACTACGTCGTATGATTGCACATAAGTTATTCTAAATTCACCATGCTTCGAGGTCTATCAGTTTCGAGAGTTGATATCCAGTCGTTAGACCCTTATGTTACGAGTTCCGTGATAATATTTTTGGAATTATTTTATATCGGTTTTTATTTTTAAGTTTTATGGTTTGTGTTAGACATCGTATGTGATATGAATAAAATTTGACTTTTGTCGCAGTGTATGAAAATAATATTTGTTAAATATTATTTTCATGTATGGATTTCGATATTCATAGCTATCCCCAAAACGCTTGCGTAACGAAGTATAATATAATTGTCCACGAAAAAAGATGTGATACAATTTATTGAGATGATATGTTAAATAACCATATTTTTTTGGAAGAATATTCAAGTTCTACGAAATATAACGATAATCTTTTCGGGTTTCGTAAAAATATTAGGAGAATATATTTGTTGTAATATAGAGGTATATTTTTAAGATTAGCTCTACATATTTGGAATAATAAATAATTATTTATAGGTCTGCGTTATTGTAATGTAGAAGTATCTCAATAGTATTTTAACATTATCACGAAAAAGGTAAATTTTTGATATTGGAGTATTATGGTGCATGAGAATATAGACATATTATCGCGAAGAATAAGTAATGTTAAAATTCGTGAGGTTTTCTATTTCGAAATTCATTTTACTACCAAAATCTCATTTTATTATGAGAAGCTAAAATGTATATTTTGCATTATTGCGCAATATAATATTATATATATATAGAGTTTGTTAATGATTGTGTATTTATCAGAAACTATGAAACGTAAGCTTGGGAGTCCTCAGAAAAAAGTTCATCTTCATCGATTGCTCCAAATAAAGGTGAGATTTTAACTAAATTATATTTTGAAAACATTCACGTGTTATAAATCTGCTTATTATTAACTGGAATTTGTAGGTGGTAATGCTAAGAACGCACGATATGCTCCTACCAGTGCAACCGATATTGACCAACTTGGAGGTTTGTTTCGTTACAATATCGATGAAGTTCCTGATCTAACACCCTAGGGAATTCGTAATGCACAACAGAGAAGAATGCATATCATGCGTGAGAGGAGAAAAAAAAAGAAGAAGCTATTGATGATCTTCTTTTTTAATAATTACAATGTAGATTAATAATTATATACCTGTTTTATACTTACTATTTTTTCCGTGAAAAAACAAACAGATTTTTTGGCTACTTCTATCAACACGGAAGAGTTTGCTTGCTTTATTGCTACTGATTTTGAGCCGATAGGGATAATGATGAAGAATCTATGTCGGAAAGTGAGGATGTGGAAAAACCGACTTCTGGTAATAAAAAAAAAGAAGACCCAAAAAACGTGCTAAATCCTCTGATTCTTGTGATGAGGATGCAAACGAGACCGTTGTTAATAGAACAGATTTATTGGAATCAGTTAGTCCTGGTCTGAAAGATGGAGGTTATGGTTTTCATTGGACTAATATATTTCATTTAATACATAATATATAAATATCGTGTAATTAATACTAATCAATGAATATTTTTCTAACCAGGTTATTACGATGATGGTGATCCTATATATATATATATGTGGTAAGTGTAAGGCTTATATGTGGTATGGAGAGAGGTAAGGTAAACGATATCGACGTGGGAAGCCTATATTCTCCATGTGTTGTGGTCAGGGTAAAGTCGTTCTTCCACTTCTTAAAGCCCCTCCAAATTCGCTATTAGCATTGATGTACAATGATGGTGATTTGCGTGATCACTTTCGTGAATTTATCCGGGCATATAATATGATGTTTTCCTTCACTTCTCTTGGAGGAAAAATAAATAAAGAAATCAACGACGGTAAAGGTACTTACATTTTCCAGATGAGTGGGGAGAACTACCATTCTATAGGCGATATGTTACCAGCTCCTGGAAAAGAACCAGCCTTTTTACAGCTGTATATATATATGATACCACAAATGAAACATCTAACCGAATAGCTGCTTATGGGTATGATTATTATTATTTTGGTTTATAATTAATTTAATCATTGAAATCAATTTTTAAAACATATATGTATTGTTATCAAATGTTATGTGGTTCTAACTGTCACAAGAATTTATTTTAAAAATTTTATAGGAAAACGGGACCGACTGATAAATTGCGAGAGAAGGTGTTTGAGAAAATAAAAAATATGCTAGATAAACATAACAAACATATGGATGCATTACGAAACATGCGAGAAAGGTTTGATACTAACGATGATACAAGCCGGTTAAGGATAATTTTAAGGCATGACAGGAAAAGTGATGGAAGGACTGAGAATCTACAACCTACTAACGAGGTTGCTGCATTGATACCTAATGATTTCAATAATGAGACAGATTCAAGTGATATCATCATCGAGTGTAAAAAGACTGGGAATCTCAAAAGGATCAGTGAACTACATCCTGCGTATTTGCCTTTGCAATATCCATTATTGTTTCCCTATGGCGAGGACGGGTTCAGACTTGGTATCGATATTGGTTTTGTAGATACCAAAAGGAGGAAAATGTTGCATATTACTATGAAAGAGTTTTTTACTTTCCGCATACAGGAGAGGGTTGGTGAGTCACCAATCATCCCTTTATCTGGAAGATTATTCCAGCAGTTCTTAGTGGATGCGTACACGATGATTGAGACTAATAGACTACGTTTTATTTCAATGAATCAGTCTAAACTTCGTTGCGAAAATTATGATAAGATAAATAAAACTGTTGATGAAGGTGACACTGATCTTTCTGACAAGGGTAAACGTATTATTATACCTTCTTCTTATACTGGTGGTACAAGGTATATGGTGCAACATTATCTAGATGCGATGACTACTTGCCAGCATTTTGGTTTTCCGGATCTTTTCATAACCTTTACGTGTAATCCCAAATGGCCTGAGATTACCAGGCACCTAAACAGACATAACTTGAAGCAAGAGGATAGGCCAGATATATGTACGCAAGTGTTCAAGATGAAACTAGATGATCTCATGCACAGACTCACCAAAGAAAATGTGTTAGGTGTCGTAAAAGCCAGTATTTTTTATTAAACTAAGTATCTTATTTCGTTTAGCAAGATATTGTCCATACCACTGCTAGATGATCATGCTAACTAATCTTTTAAAAACTAAAAATTATTCTTTGCAGCGATCTTCACGATTGAGTTTCAAAAACGGGGACTACCTCATGCACACATCGTTCTTTTTTTAGAGGCTGGTCACAAGCTACCAACAGGTGATGACAATGATAAGATAATATGTGCAGAAATTCCTGACAAGGATATTGATCCAGCGCTGTATGAGATAGTAGAAGATGTCATGATGCATGGGCCATGTGGTGCTTTGAATAAGGATAGTGTTTGCATGGCTGAAGGAAAATGTACAAAGTATTTTCCAAAACCATTCAGTCCGATCACTAAAATAGATGATGTTGGATATCCTATATACAGGAGACGTAATGATAAGAAAGTTATCGTTAAAAAGGGTATTGGATGTGATAATGGATTTGTGGTTCCTTATAATAAGAGCCTCACACTGCTTTATAGGGCTCATATCAACGTCAAATGGTGTGTACAGTCACGATCAGTAAAGTATCTATTCAAATATATTCATAAAGGTGCTGATTACATCCGTGCAACTATCAAGAATGATGATAAAGAAAACGAGATTAAGAAACACTTCAACTGTAGGTATGTTTTAAACAGTTTGTTCACATATTTTATATCTTTGAAATTCCAATCTTCCATTATTTAATAATGTCTTTCTATATAGGTATGTAGCGCCTTCGGAGTCTACGTGGAAAATTTTCGGTAATCGTACTCACCATCGCACCGTTTCTGTAGTTAAACTACTCTTTCATTTACCAAACCAGCAAATGGTCATATACAACGAGGATGATCCAGGTGACGAGGTTATTAATCGTGTCTCAGTTGGTACGTCAAAATTTATTGCTTGGATGGAGTGCAACAAGGAGTATGAATTGGCGAGGACGTTAACTTATGCGCAACTTCCTACGAGATTTGTATGGAATGGACCAAAAGAGGATATGGACGCCAAGGTCAAGGAGAATTGCTCTTGGTAGAATTACGTACGTACCCATTGGGGCAGGTGAAGCATATTATTTAAGGCTTCTGCTTAATTTAGTCAAAGGACCACGTAGTTTTGACGATATAAAAACGGTCAACAAAGTTCTACATCCTTCGTTCAAAGACGCTTGCTATGCGTATGGATTATTGAATGATGATAAAGAATATATTGAGGCCATCAATGAGGCCGGATTGTGGCTTTCTGCTAATTATCTCCGTCGTCTTTTTGTGATCATGCTCACTACTCATAGTATATCCATTCCTTCTAGAGTTTGGGATGCTACATGGCAGGTATTATCAGATGACATCATATATAATTACAGAAAGACTGCCAGGATCAAAGTAAGTCATATAGTTATTGTTTACGTTGTTGTTATTATATATCTTTAAGATATTGATAGCTAATTTATCTTTTGTAAATTTTTTGAAATTGTGTAGCTGTTAGTCTATCTCAGGAGCAAGTTAAAGACTTTGCTCTGGTCGAAATAGAACTTCTTTTACGTGTAAGTGGGAGATTTTTAAAAGAATTCACACCTGTGCTGTTTCCTGAAGATATTACTCTGGAGTCACGTGATAATCCTCTTATTCGGGATGAGAGGAATTACAATCGCAAAACTCTTAGAGTTAGAAACGAGCAGATGTTAGCCACTATAACCAGCGAACAGAGAAGTGTTTATGATGAGATCCTAGAAGCAGTAAATAAGAACAAGGGAGGTATGTTATTTGTTTATAGTTCTGGAGGTACTGGTAAAACTTATTTGTGGAGTCTATTAGGATCTGCTCTACGTTCCCAAGGTAATGTTGTTCTTAAGGTTGCATCGAGCGGGATTGCTGCGTTACTATTAGAAGGAGGCCGAACTGCGCATTCAAGATTTGCAATCCCTATCGTGGTTAATAAGTTTACCTTTTTTTCAATCAAGAAGGAGTCGAATCTTGCCGACCTGATAAGGATTGCTAAACTCATTATATGGGATGAGGCGTTGATGATGAGTAAAGACTGTTCCGAGACCCTAGATAGAACGATGCGTGATATATTCGAAGTTGATAAGCCCTTTGGTGACAAGGTCATTGTTTTGGGAGGGGATTTCAGGCAAATATTGCCAGTGATTCAAATGCTGGGAAGACAGAGATACTTATGGCCACTTTGAATTCGTCACCTCTGTGGTACAAATGTAGAGTGTTGAGACTTACACAGAACATGCGACTTATTGCTGGAGATAATAGCCGTGTGATGCTTGAACGAGCTGCCTTTACAAAGTGGATCTTAGACATTGGTGATGGAACGATAAATGATGATGGAAGTGGTGAAGCCGTGATTGATAATCCTGATGATTTGTTGATTAAAGACTGTAAAGATCCTATAAAAACGATCGTCAAAATGGGAGTTTGTTTTCGAAAGAGACTGATCCTAAATTTTTTCAAGACCATGCCATACTGAGTCTAAGAAACGATGATGTAGAGACGATAAATGGTTACATGCTTTCAAAGTTGTCGGGTATGTTTATTTTGTTTTAGTTCCTCTTAACTTATTTGTTTAAATTTATATAATACAACGATTGTTTTGTATATAACAGGTGTTGAAAGGACCTATCTTAGTTTTGATAGCATTGATACGGCTGAAGAAGTTGTCAATTACAATGATGCATCTGAAGTACCATCGGAGAGTGTAGCTAGTAAGAAGAAAGGTGGTTCCAACAATATGATTTATACCGAGGAGTTTTTAAATAGTATCAAGATGTCTGGTTTCCCTAATCATGTCCTGAAGTTGAGAAAGGGTACTCCTGTAATGCTTCTAAGAAATATCGACCCTAAGAATGGGTTGTGTAATGGCACAAGAATCATCATTACTAAGATGGCTAATTATGTTCTCTAGGCTCAGATAATAACAGGTAGCAAGGTTGGTGAGAAAGTACTCATTCCTAGGATATTCCTCTTTCCTTCGGAGATGAAACTTCCTTTCAGGATGAGACGCAAGCAGTTTCCTATCACATTAGCTTTTGCAATGACTATAAACAAAAGCCAAGGACAAACACTCGAAAAGGTTGGTTTGTATCTTCCAAGGCTGGTATATACTCATGGGCAACTCTATGTCGCTGTGTCGAGGGTTACATCCAGAGAAGGTTTGAAGATATTGATCACCGATAAAGAAAACAAACCACAAAGCAAAACATTGAATGTCGTCTACAAGGAGGTTTTTGACAAGATATGATTTATTTTTTGTTTTGTTTATCTATTCTCTATGGATCTCGAAATATGTTAGTTCTTTTTACTATATTATAATTACGTTCGGTTTTATAGGTTTTACTAATAGATTTGATGTTTTTCGATTTTTCACTTAGTTGGATCTGATGTAATTCGTTTTCAAAATTTCTCTAAATTAGACCTGAAATAATTCTTATATCATGTACTAAGTTTAGATTATCTATTATCGTAAATGGGTTTGTAAAGCCTATATATTACATTATGTTTGATTGGCTTACACCAAAAGAATGTAACTAATGGATATGGGTATCAACTATTATTTTTATTGAACCCAAATATTGTATATAAATTGGGAGTTGTATATTTACTCGGTTTTATCAATCTGATTCGTTTTTTTTTCATATATATATATATATATATTACTCCATCATGTACAATTAAGCAGCTTTCTTAATTTTTTCTTTTATTAATGGTTTGATCTCTGACGTTTAACTGTAGTCGGATATTCCAATGATAAATTCAATTCGATAATATATTTTAACGAAACTTAAATTGTAGCATATTATTTGATATCTATTGACATTTCATGTGATGAACATTGTCACGTAGTTATAAATATCGAGAATGCTCCAAAACCAAATTATCAATGTCATCGAAATAAACTTAACAGTTTTTAGAAAATTAAACCAAGTACATACTGTCTTTAAAGTGATCATTGCAAACAGGAAAAAAAACATGGAAATTGATATGGTTCTTGATTAAACTCCAGACCTCCTCTTTTTGCTTTCCTTCTCCTCTCCCTTCAAGCACAAACACAAACACAAACAATCCAATTTAAATTTTTGTAAAATTATATAACTTTAAACTAACTCAATATTATATTTAAACATGAATTATTTCTAAAACATAGAGTTCAATGGGCAATCAATAACAAATAATAATGACTCAATAACATAGATTTTAGAAAAAATTTCATTATTAATCTAAATATATTTCTGATTAGTTGCCCATTCGGCGGTATCCATGTGTCGAATTTCTGTCTCCACAAAACCACAATGCATGCACTTCAACCCTATCTCCAGATCTATAATCAGATCGTGTTTTCGTTTTGTGCAACTTGCTTGGGATGTCTCATTAGATGGGTTGCCTTTGTCATCCTCCATAAATAGAATATACAGATTTTACAATTCATTGTGTAAGACATGATTGAAATAACCTTTAGTGAAGAGGATATATTACCTGAGTAGTATTCTGTTTGGCTTTCTGATTTGATGCGGTGAGTAAGTGTAATTGTTCCCATAATTCTTCTTGCTCGATCTTGGAATCTGTTGGTGAAGGTGGTTACTTAGGTTCCACGACACCGAATCTCATTACCAATGGTGGGGGATTGATGATCAACAAGTCATTTTCATCGAATTTTTTTTCATTTGTGTTCGCCATGTTCTTATGAATGCTCTCACAAACGATAAGGCTACTTATAAAATAATTTAAAGTTTTTTGAAAGAAAACCTCAAGTGAGTATTTGATAAGGTGTGCAATAATAATCAATTTTCTCATTTTTCAATTTTTTTTATGGGGAAGATTATGCGACTTTATGTTTGCACCTAACCGTTTGACTTTCCAGGTTTCCTGTTTCACATAATTTTAAAGAAAATTGCCCAAGTAGATACATAAAGTTATAACATATAAGTCTACATAAATGTCATTTTTGTTATGATGTTGTATGAATATATCATTTCCTAAAATATTGAAACATAAAATTGTCTATAAACTATAGAGAGTGATCGTATTATTTTATGGAAATTGTTGTAATTTAGCAAAGTTATATATTTAGTAAAATAGTATATTTACTTATTGAGGTTGCATGTATCCTTGGTGAAACTTCAAACATGGAATATATTCTCTCTGACACGTGAAACGAACAAATCAGTCAATATCGATATGGAAATGTCTTGACATAAATTAATGGGATTGTTGTTGGTTTTGACGATAAGGGGCTTTAATTGATAACTGTTCAAATTTTTTTTTTTAATAATTCAAACGAAAATAAATTTATAAGAAAGAATAACTGCCTATTCAACTGCATTGTCTGTCCTTTTCGTCTTTAACACACTTTCTCATACTTCGTCACTTTTAGTTTTCCTCTTTATAAATCTCATTCAGAGTTCTCAATCGCAAAAAAGAAAAAAATAAGTTTCTAAAATGTCTGATGTTGTCGATGTTGCATGTTTGGATACTTACAAAACAGGGTGTTTAATATCTGTCAAGGTGGTCAGGCTTTGGAAGCATTCAACATTCTTCGAAAATACTATCGAGATGGTTCTGTCTGATATCAAAGTATGTGTCTTTTTTTGAAGTTTTTCTTTTATGTTTTTTCTATTTATTATTCACTGATTATTTTTGGCTGTGTTATTTTTCTAGGGTACTCGGATCGCTGCAACCATTATGCCAAACGAGTTTCCCACTCGCTGGAAAGAAATCAAACAGGGACAGTGAATTCGGATTTTCAATTTTTACGTTAAAGAAGCAACTGGATCAATGCTTACAACGATCAATAAACATCGTTTGCAGTTAACTTCTGTCACTATTATCACCCCTATTCGAACGAGGTCGTACAATTTGTATCTCCACTGCTTCCGATTTTATGATATTGTGGATCGAGCCATTCCTTTTGACTATCTGATTGGTAAAAATTTCATCTTTAACTTTTTATAAGAATTAATCAAATTTATCGGTTTGCATGGTAATTTCTAAACATATATGTTAAGTTTTATAATAGATTTAAATTCAATTTATTATTTCATTTATAATAAGACGTTATGAGAACTATTGTGAATATGAGTCCACTCTGCAATGCAAGTAATGATGCTTATGAAGAGAATCTCGCTTATCTCCGATATGAGATAGTAGATGCACGGTATTACGAATCATGTCCATTGTTTTATATGTAAAGGACTGTCAACATATAAAGTCTAATATTTCATTTTTCGTATTGTTATTTCTTGTGGCAGAAGAGAAGGCTGGTTAACATGTTACGCCCGTGGTTCTCTAGCAATAAATCTCCATGATGTATATCAGAGAAACACATGTGAATTGGTTATCTGGGTGTTAAGGTTCTGGAAGATGACAAATGGCCAAGGTATATACATATTTTCTCATATATGTCTTAAAATCTGAATGTTGAATAAAAATTTTGTCTATTGTTGTTTAGGTATCGATAAGAAGTCTGTGGTTCTCCGATCTAATCATTTATGCTCAGATTTTTTGTACAATCCTGTCGATGCAGAAGTTGATGCATTTAGAGCGACGTGAGTATTTAAAATTTTGGATTCTATATATTGTTGTTTCAATATTTATTAAAACGTTTTGGTAATGACTTTTTATCACTTTCGTAGGCGGAACCAACTACGGACGAGCGCATCGACTGTTTGATGTTATTTGTAGACCTCCCCTATTCTGTCTCTCTATTTTCACTGTTTCTTCTTTGTCTTCTCGAACTCAATACTTAGTAATTTTATGCCTACTTTTAAAACTAAGATCAATGATTTTATTTAATACTTTCTTATTGTTTATATATTAATTTTGTGATGTATTATCAAACTATATTTTATGTACTATATGTGTTTTATATTAGCTCATATTGTTAGGTTCGATGTTAGACTATGTCTTTTTTATAAGATTTTTGTGGCTTCTGTTATGGAAAATATTTTGATTATTTTTGGTATAGTCAGAGTAATTGCCTAAAGTAAACATACTAGAAATCAGGATAATTGCCTAAGATAAACATATTAGGAAACATATATATACTTCAACTATTTGTCACAGGAAAACTTACTGACTGTCGTCATAAATTTTTAATAGACCTCTAACAATAATTGTCTTTTCCAAGAGCTCATAAAAACTTTAATGATCGTGATAGTAAAGATATTCTACGATATGGACCCAATCGTGTTTAGTCTTTATGGTTGTTCACGAAAATCGAAATCAGTAATATTTTTGTAGAGATTTAGATTCGTTTAATGTTTAGGTGTTTATTTGCTTAATAATATCCGGTATACCTATATCAATAATATTAAGTCATGATTAATTAATGAGTCCAGTATATCTATATTTTTAAATACCTTAATAACCAATTTATATTCGGATATCGAAATAATAATAAAAAAACTAATACAATCATGAATTCCTTTTATTTTAATAATGATTTATCGGTATGAAAACATATATATACACATATGTTTTGTCTTTGAATTAAAACAAATTTTTAAATTATATAGAAAGAAGTTATACATATATAGATTGTGTTTTGTTATATTTTTAAAAAATTATAAAGTTATAGATAATTTGGTTTTAGTGGTTGCGATCATATTGTATTTATATTTAATATATATAATGGATAATGAAAATCGTTTTAAAAGACTCGGTTCAAGTAAACGGTTTCTATGAATCGTCATCATTAAGCATAATCATATTTTAAAAAACGTTATGTATATATATAGATGATTTGATAAAGACTCGATGCAACAGAACATAACTACTTTCTGATATTTTATTCTCTCTAAACTTCCAACAAACATGGGTAGTTATGATTTGGTTCATGAGATGAATGGATGGAGAGATGACTGGAGGATTGTGGTTAAAGTTTTGAAAAAGTGGAGCGTGAACGATCCACAAGGATTACCAGGTCTTGGCTTCATTATGACCGACGAGAACGTTAGTTTTATTATAAACTAAACTTTGTAGTAATAAGTCTCTGATTCTGTATATTTCTTTATTGGTTCTATAATTTCTATATTTTTTTCTTATATTGTAGGGATGCCGAATTCAAGAAATTGTTCACAATCAGATGTTCGAGTATTTCGAACGAGTTTGCCATGAAGGTCACTGGATTATGTTATCTCGGTTTAGTCTCAACTGATTGCTCAGGAATGATCGCGACAAGATAACTAGACTCGGTTTTATGATTACTCTGACTGACGACACAAAGGTTTCACGTATAATACCAAT